TTATTTGGGAAGAGATTGATTGGTGATAGCAATTAATGTGGTTGCAAATGGACATCAGGAGGAAATGGCTGCATGGCGAGCGAATACAGTATGAACTTCAGTCTGGTGTGTGAACGGATGAGTTGTACGTGTTACACTGGGGCTTGTCTGATGCTTTGGCTCTGAGGCCTGTTTTTCCCACATGTGTCAGGTGTGCTGCTCGTATTACTGTCTGTAGGGCTTCAACGTTGATCTCAATGGTATGAAACGGACAGCAGCCTGATCAAGAGGCACATGGAGATTAACCTTCTATTCAGATCGGCCCTTTTTCTCACACATTTCTGCTTTACGTAATCAGAGAGTAACTCTGTATAGGCAAGAAACAATGGAAGTGCTGACCCTGCATTTCTCTCTCTCTCTCTCTCTCTCTGTGTGTGTGTGTGTGTGTGTGGTGAAAGGAACTGAGTGTTGGTGAAGGAGAGGTGAGGAGACTTTGAACCATCAAAAACAGTTCAAGAAGAAAGGGGGGATGAAAACAGAAGTGGGTGGTGATGAAACGATGAAGAGGAGGGGAGAAAAAAATTCTGCGGTCAGTGTGGGGAAGTCTGTAAAAACATACGGAAAGAATGAAGATAACTTTGAGATGGATGGAGATAATGGCATTGGTTCTGATCAGACAGAGAGGCAACCATCATTGGAAACCAGTAAAACCAGGCTATCTGCAAATTGCTTCATAATCATTTGCATTCTGGGAGCTCCAGAGTGCATTCTGGGAGCTTCAGTCTGAAGGATGAGATATTATGTGTCAGGGGGTGAACAAGTGTTATAAGACATGGGCTTCTGAGTGATGATTAGTATAGATATGAATTATTAATGGGTTGGAGGAAAGGAAAATAGTGACAGGAGAGAGAATGTTTGAAAATGTATTGCAAAAATTCACAGGAGCTAAAGCTGCTGACAAAAGTGATTCGTTTAAGCATCTATGGAGATGTAGCCTATCTGAACACAGAATTTGTGATTTGGAAATATCAACATTTATACTGTAATAAACACTGCTACATGTTATATATGGTGTTATAATAACCCTTCAGTAATGTGTACCTGAAACTATTACCTTCCATTTATATCTGCTTTCCCTAGATGAGTACCAAATAACATCAGATATTCCATAATTTTTTCATTAAATATTATACTTATTCATAAATATATGTATATTTAAATTTCCATTAAAGTTATATCCACTTAATATATTTATTTTATCAAAACAAACAAATAAATAAATATTGGTGTGATCATTGCTTAACACCTGAATATAAATTGCTTTTAAATGGTGTTTATTTTATTTTTTTATTTTTTAAATACCAATAAAATTAATGGAAAATTGTAACATTAATATTTCTGATAGCAGGTTTTTTTTTTCTGATGGCAGATTTACAATTGCAAGTACTAAAAATAGCATTCAATGTTTTTCTCTTGAAGAAAACCACGCAAAACACAGAAGATTCCCAATCGTTCTCTCTTTTGGCAAAATATAAATAAACAAATAAATAAATAACACAATTAAAATATTTTTAATTTGTCATTTGTAGCTAAATGCAACGTTGCATTAATCATTACCGATTATTTGACTAATAATTACGGATAATATAACTCAATGAATACCTGTTCGCATAAAAATATTGTTTTTATCAAAACAAAAATAAAAAAAACCTGGATTAATAATCAATTAATAATAAGGGTAATAATAAAAGCCTAATTAAATCATGCGATATATAGCCTATTTTAATTATTTTCCCCCTAAAAGAAAGAAAGAAAGAAAGAAAGAAAGAAAGAAAGAAAGAAAGAAAGAAAGAAAGAAAGAAAGAAAGAAAGAAAGAAAGAAAGAAAGAAAGAAAGAAAGAAAGAAAGAAAGAAAGAAAGAAATATTTTTGTCACCTTAATATGTTTGGCATAACCTGTTTATAATGACTGTGATTTGCGAGGGCAGATGAATTGTATTAAAATCTCGTAAATGTCCCCTAAATCTGGCCGTTTGCCTGTTCCATATCAGTTGACATATCAGATGGGCTTAATACCGATATAAATTAAGCTGGGTCGCTTGTTACGGCTTACCTGGCGGCATATTACTGGAGAGGCAAGGTGGGAAAACATGTCGGTTTTCCGAGACAGTCAATTATCACAACTACAACGACAAAGAGAACAAACGTCTGGCAGAAAAGTTGGTTAACGTGATTTGTGTGGATTTTCCGCCGGTGTGACTGAGCGGCTTTATTTAAAGTCACTGGATTGAGGAAATGTTGAAAATAGCACACGACTCTCTTAATGAGACCTCCAGAGGAAAGAAGGAGCACACCGGTCACTGGACTGACTGACTGGGGGATGGGACATTAGAGGCTTCAACTCATTTCAGGATGAGGTAGGCTATATGTGAAAAAAGAAAATGTTAATTTAACAAATCTTATTATATTATATTCAAAACTGTCTACGGATAGCATGATAGTCCTGGTTAATCACGAAACAACAACAATGAACTTCCAGACATTAACAGGAAACCTGAAGGCAGAGTTGGGATATAATCATCAAATATATGGCCATTTTAAAATGTGTAGGCTATCCATCAAAAACGCGGACGCTTGCAAAAGGGTGCTTTTAAAGCGACACTTCGCGGTTTTAAGAATTTCTTCTTCATGGTGACATTTCTAAATTGTAATTATTTTATTTTATTATTTACATATTACAGTGAAAAACAACTGCAGCCAGGCCTTTATTGTCATTTGCTTTAAGTAGCCTATATTAGGCTATTGTTTTATTTTTTCCAGATTCATAACCTTAGTCCTGGCTTACAAGCATCAATTCGGATCATTTAGAGTCTATAAGTTTTGATTAATTCTACGATTATTAACCACTTCTCTCATGCTCACATATTTGGTTCTGCATTACTTTATTTATTTTTAAAAAATTCAGTTTGAAAGGAGATCAGGAGGAGGAGGAGGGGTCTGTACCAGGAGTCTGACCAAGTGACCTACAGGCTGATTATATGTCATTAACTGGAGACTCGGCCTATTTAAATTACTCGAGAACTTCCATTCAGACAGATGAATTACGCCTGAACCCCACACAACAACACTTAAACACGAATAAATCATGAGCCCTCTTTTGTGAAATTTGTGAAATTTTACACACACACACACACACTTATTCCACTCCCCTTTTCTCTCACTCTCCTCTTGCCTTTCCCCTCACCTCTCTCTCTCTCTCTCTCTCTCTCTCTCTCTCTCTCTCTCTCTCTCTCTCTCTCTCTCTCTCTCTCTCTCTCTCTCACACACACACACACACACACACAAGAATAGCTATGCCTATGCCCATAGATATTCACACATTGTTTAACATAGCTGTTATACTTGGCAACTGGAGGAATACACTGTGAACAATATAAAACGACTCAATTCCAAGTCCCCTGAAATGGCTCAAATGCAGTCAACACGGGCTACTTTCACGGTACAAGGGTATTACAACCAATCTTGTTCAAAATTACCATGGCTTTTGGATTCAGTTAAAATATTCTGCACTTTTCTTCGCCACATTTAAAAATATGTCTTCAAACATGGATGTCGTGAAAAATGAACGGCCAATTGAGGATTAACAGATCCCGGAAACATAATTCTTGTAAAGTGTTTCGTATACAAATATACGACATAAACATATATTACAGTCAAAATCATTGGCCTGTCCTTGATGATGTCTAAATTTTAATGGCACATTTTTATTTATTTATTTTTCAAATACGCCCTCAGTTGGACTTTACATGATGAAACCGTGTTGATGGACTTACTGATTTATCAAAGACAATCCTTAAACAATTTTTATTAAAATGACAATGGCGTGATTATTTTTGTCAGAAATGTTAAATGTAGTCAAAAAGATGAGATGCTTTACCAATATTATTTTATGCATTTTATATTACATTACTATTATCATTATTATTATCATCATCATAGTGTCTTGTATAGCTTGTGCTTTTATTAGTTCATTTAAAATTTTCGTGAAATACAGTTAATTAATACGGAAGACATTCAATCAACTTCTAAATGAAAAACATTTCTCGTTTCATATAGGCCTACTGAAGGCCTATATATTAAATATTTAATTTTATGTTGGAAATATTTTGAGATATTTCAGCATATTGGCCTTAGGCTATATTAAAAAAAAATACGCTCTGCTTATGAATCCGTATTTTGTTATTCCCAAAAATACGTGTCAAAAAGCGATAGGCTATATAGGCTATTGTTGAAAATTTTTAATTTATAGACGACCTAAAGTACAAATAATTAGTTCTAACGATGCATAGTAGCTACACGGTGGCTATGAGAGAATGAATAATATCCTATAAGTTTTAACGTCCGCTGAAATGGCAAATCTGTTGCTCTGCACTTTGCTTTTCCTTCCTTTTTTCAAGAGGCAGTGATAAAACCCCCCAACACAAGTTCTACTCTTAACGGGGTTTTTATTTTAATTACGATCTATCTATTTGGTTCCTCTAGGCTATTTGTAAGTTTAATTACTACTTGCTCAAAAAGCACATTTTTTATTTATCCTATTTTATCACTAGCCTACATTAAAGCTTTAAATTACAAATTTACAATAATTAAATTGTAAATTTAATAATAACACACACACACACAAATAGTTTTTTTTTTTAATTACACATATTTAAATGTGTAATTAAAAAAAAAAAAAAAAAAAAAAATAGGCCGAAATGTCAATGTAATGTCACATATACATAGGCCTATATAAAAAAAATAAATATATAGCTAATATAAACATGGCTTGGCAGTATTTACCAACCACTTTTGTATGTATTTCATAGTTTTCTACATTTTAAATATAGTCTGAGTATGCTATCTTTGCAAGAGTTTGAGCAATTTAGGAGCGTAAACACCCTAACGATGCAGTTCATGTCCCTCCTCCTCTTCAACGTTATTGGCTGAGAACCGTTTTGACGACATATATGAACCCAAGCCGCTCTAAAGATGTAGCTGACATGGAGATCAAACGGCGGAATTCGCCTGCTTCTACCGAGTGAATCAGGCTGCGAATTGCGGGCACAACATCGACTGGGATTGGATCTTTTTCCATCCAACGCTCATTGATTCCACAACGGGTGTGAAATTCAGAAAAAGGCTGTGAACTCTGCTCAAACAATAATAACCATGAGCAATGGAACTTTTTCGTGATGGATATCTGCAGTGGAAAATATAAGTGTGAGTAAATTATTTTTTCAGTAATAACTCGACTGCAGTTAGCCCACATCCGAAGCCTATTTTGTTCATCCGTTAATGATCTGCTATATTTTCAGCGATATCTTTGTTATGGACAAATAGCCTAAGTAGGACTGTATTTTTTACATTCTGTCAGAAAGCAACAAATCAGTAGTTTTTTTTTATGGGGAGACAGCCAGTGTCTAAATCACCAAGTCAAAGTACGCACAATCTGAGAGACAAAGCGAACTCCGTCTGTGGTTCGCCGTAGGGTGCACAAATCTGTCGCCATGAGTTTAGTTGGAGGGTTTCCCCACCACCCGGTGATGCATCATGACGGCTATTCCTTCGCTGCTGCAGCTGCTGCCAGTCGCTGTCATGAAGAACCCCCCTATTTTCATGGGTGGCTTATCAGCCATCCGGAGATGTCTCCTCCAGACTACACGATGGCACCCTCGTATAGCCCCGAATACTCAACAGGAGCCCCCGGGCTTGACCACTCGCACTACGGAGGAGTACCGGGCGCCGTTGGAATGGAACCCCGACCAGTGAAACGTAGACCCACGGCAAACCGAAAGGAGAGGCGCAGGACTCAGAGCATCAACAGCGCCTTTGCAGAACTCAGGGAATGCATTCCCAACGTGCCCGCGGATACGAAGCTGTCCAAAATAAAAACCCTTCGTTTGGCTACCAGTTATATTGCTTACCTTATGGACATTCTGGACAAAGACGAACAGAACGGGGAAGCAGAGGCCTTCAAGGCGGAATTCAAAAAGACAGACGGCAAAGAAGAAAGGCGAAAGAAGGAAATGGTAAGTCTAAACATATCTCAGTAGACTTTAAACTTTAGTTTAAATAAATATTATGTACTAGACTTATAATTTATTACGCACATATCCAAGTTAAAAGATAAACAGCTCTGCGATATATTAGACATAAATATAACGGAAACTTGCTTTGACTTTGATATATCTTCAACTTTATTCTGTTCCAAAACTTTCTATTTTGTGAACGTTGTTGTTCCTGTGTCTCAGTTGCGTAAAAGCATTTTGCTGTCTTTACCGTATATTGATGACTTGCAATAGGCATATAAATAATCTCTTTTGTGTTCTTTTTTTCACAGAATGACGTTTTGAAAAGTTCAGGGAGCAGCAATGACAAGAAAACTAAAGGGAGAACTGGTTGGCCGCAGCATGTATGGGCATTGGAACTGAAACAATGAGACTAATGCAAAAGACACGAAATGAGGCCCTCTGAACTCATTTTAGTTGTTCTCTCACTTTATTTAATGGAATATTTATGTGCAATTTCCCGCATCGGACAGTGGATATTTGAGGAAAAAACCATTCCATTTTAGAAGGAGGATACTCTCTTGGTAAGAAATTGTATGTTGCTGTCGATATTGGGTTATCATTGTTTGTTTTCGTGTCCCATTGTGAATCAAAATGAGATATCTGCCACTAAGGAGTACGTGAAGTCTTTTTCTGCCTCTCTATCACTTTCAGTATCTATCTCCCTCTCTCTCTTTCTCTCCTTTAATTATGAGGAAGATTAGTCGATGTTATGATATAAATGTTTTATTTGAAAATGTCATGAAGTGTTATGATGTAATTTTGTGGTCGTACAATGTTGGTGTCTGTTGACAACTGTTGAGTCCACCCAGTGCACTTCCGTCCAGGGACACGAAATTTAAATAATATTGGAGATGTAAACAATGTAATTAATTCAATAAACCACTGTGTTTTTAACGATCTTAGACCTTTTGTTGTATTGAAGGTGCCATTAGTAAATTGCATACTTAATAAGTAGCCTATTCACAGAAGAAAAGTGCTGTTCGTGAACATTGAGTATAGAAATTAATGATACGTTTCAGAGCCTAGAGAGGCTGTTGAAGGTATTTTCAATTATACTTACATTAACTTGACAGTCAAATCAAACAGCACTCACGCGATGCATACCCGGCAGCTCCTCGAGCACAAACAGAATGATTCTCAAAGCCCAAACTGTGTCCCGCTTCGATGCATTTTGGCTTTTTTTTTTTTTAAAAAAAAGGTGTTTTAGAGTTTTAAAGAAGAGTTACATTTGACAAAGCTGCAGTACTACGTGTCAGCAAATGTGGCTGATGTGCACATTTTGTCTTTTGATCTACTTGAAATACTGGGATACGCCAAAAAAAAATGTGTTCTTGCTAGCTATCGTCCTAATGTTGGCTACAGACTAATTCATTTTACAAACAGGCCTACAATTCGATGTAGATACTACAACAGTCTGTAGTTCCGTGTTATTACATATATATATATAAAAAAAAATAAGCGATAAATATTATCATTATTATCTTAAAATGAGAATTGTATATGCTTATTTAATTTACCTCCAGTAATATACATTTGCTAGTGTACAAATGAAATTAGATTTAATCATATTAAAAAGACAGGTTTGATGAACAGGTGATAGGCCTACGGTTTCTGCAGCAGGTGCCCAAAAAAAGAAAAAATATAGACTAATTTAATTAATCAAAATGATGATTTGACTTAATGTCTGTGACATATAAATAGGCTACAGTGCTCATTTAATTATAAAAAAAAAGACACAATAGTCTACCGATTAAGGCAAAAATGGATAGAATCCCGAAGCATTGGTGTAGCTGTTAAATAGGCAGCCCTTGATATTTTAATAAAACAATCACTGAAACTACAGGGTCGATTAGACAGCGAATGAAGTTTAATTCCATTATTGATTGAGTAGACTTACTGGAGCCACTGGAAAATGTCAAAATGATGTTAAAAACAAAATACGGAGTAACGGTCAGCTCGGATGTGCAATTGATTGATAATGTGCCGATCAAAACGCGCAGCTGAAACTTCCCACTGTGGGGGGCTGGGTTAGCACCGCAATTCATCGAACCGAATTTTGGCTCTGATGGCAATAACAAGAGTCAGTAGTAGCTGGAATTATGGCGTAGGCTACAACATCAGTGATTTATAATAAATCACACCCCCCCCCCACACACACACACACACGCACATATATATATATATATTTTTCTTTACTGTTAGGGCTTTTTTGTGAGTTTTATTATTATTAGTAGTATTATTATTATTATCAATGTGGGCTAACGTGAGTATGCTATTCGTTTCAGGCCTCATTCGTCTGATTTTTTTTTTTCCTTTACGCAAAGGCATGCAATTAAACTGACATCTCCGGGAGAGTAAATCTCTTTAGATAGGAAGACACACAGACAATTTAAGACCTATCCAATTGCTTTAAATTACCGCTTACTTTACATTGTATTGTCTGATTCCACTGGTCCTATGCGCTAATAATTTTAGATAATTTGTTGAGAGTGTCAAGATGGCGTCTCAGATAAAATTAACCGTCCGTAGGCCTACTCCCTTGATTAAGAATAGCCTACAGATAATACTGTGACCTCACTCTGACCTTCTGCTGCTGTAACATGAATGGCTCTCCAAATGGAAGAGAACACGTATCTTACATTCGACACCATGATTCCTGAAGGCCCAAAGTATAGTCAGGACCTCTTATTACATCTGGCACTAAAGCAAACGAAGTCGTCTAATCCTGGGAGATAGCCTACTACAATTTAGTTACAGCCGACAGAGCTCTTTTATCTCTCACTTCCCCTCACTTCATGTCCCATATGAATGAATACAATTCTAAGCATATACATTCTGACCAGCAAAAACACTTAGACCTACATTTTAGTTGCCTATGTCTAGTGTTGTTTATTTCAACTCGCTTCGACAATGGCAGGCATACGCCACTTATCAGCCTGATAACACATCGATTTGCTCTCTTACGTAAAATTGTCCAAAACTATTAAAGTTCTCGAATGATGTCGTATTATATTTTAAAGCATGGACCAAACACCATCTCTTTCTTAGTATAACAGACATCTGTAAACCATTAGCTCATAAGGCCCTCCTCCATTTTTTCTGTCTGTGGCAGTGGTTGAGACGTGTTGACGTCAGAACAGAGCATCCTGCGCCTATACAGTATATGCAAAACATAATCACGTAGCCTACGAGGCCTGTGATTCTACCTCAACAAAAGGCCTTGCATCAAACCCGTTCAGTGTAAATAACTTATGATAAAGGCAATCTAAGCTTTCGAAAAAAAATATATATATAGTCAATGGCTTGAAGTGCCACAAACAGACATAGCTTACAACATTAAGATATCTGTTTTAGTCTGTTCGTGCTTGAAAAAAATATAGATGTCGCAGTCTTAATCATTTTAAAATGAAATTCATGGCTATATGTTCTAAAATTTTGTGATACGAGTAGTCCGGGCTGCTATCTCTTTGCATGGTTTTATGAACAGATCACACTCTCTTGAAAATAAAAGTTTACTGTAGGCCTATCTATATTTTTTCCTGATTATAAAGAACATTTTAACAAAACAATTTGCACTATATGCACGCAATGTTAAGGTTCCATTTATGTTAAAGGTTCTTCGTGGAACCATATTTGCCTTAGCCTACGCGTAATATCACATTTTAGAATGGGAGATTAGACTAGATGTACTCAGTGTAATTAGATTTAGCATAAAGACTTTTGTCCCACATCCTCAATGTGTACCGATATAACGGAGCATTGTAACTTTTGATAACGTTTCGCCGACATCTGCAGTCATTTTGATCGGCAGGTTTAGAGGGGGAAATGAAGTCCGATATTGACTGAATTGGATAATTAAACACTTTATATTATTTTTAATAACATGCTAGTCTAATAAGTATCTTATGCAACTCCTGGTTTGTTCTTGAATTAGCGTAGCTTAAAATAAACGGCACGGCAATATTAGGCGCCTAGGCCTAAAAGTGCAATCTTAATGTAGGGCCTGTATTTATACATAAATGTGTTTACTACCCAAAAAGTCGCTTTTATTTTTGAATCCGAGTGAATTCTCTCACTGACCCAAAAAGTGTTCCGTGAGTTAACTGAAAGGACTGCAATATCAATCTGCTAAATTTCTCAAATACAATAGAAATGCGCCACACTATCAGGTTATAAACTGTCAACTGTTTTCACCCCAAAATTAAACAACCAGACAATGTGACTTTTTGAGAGACTGTCCTGTGTCTTGTTGAATGTTTCACGGAAGAGCAGGCCAGTGCCCGTGGTGCTGTCAGTTGTGACAGTTCCCAGATGGAGGCCGCTACTGTATGCGAGATTGAGTTTCTCACAGAAACAACTCCCTCTTCTTCCAAACCGTCCTCCAAAAGTTCTTCAGGCACTCGTGCGCCCCGACGCCTCAAACATCGGTAACGCGGAAAGAATGAGCGGAGTTTTGAAGGAATAAGGATGCATCGCTCCATCAGAGTAGCCTATGCTTGAGAAGAGATGGCTTTAAATCTGCGTGACGAGCTAGTGGCAGGATCACTGATGGTTACTACGGTAAACTGGATTTGCCTTGAATGTGTAAAGTGATTTATTGGTTTTATAAGGAACTGGCACACAACTTATACACAACTAAGAGCTTTCTTTTTTATCAAGGGGATATCTCTTATCAATAGCATATACTTTATAGAAAACCAGGCATTCGAAATAATTATTATGTTTCTTGTGCTGTTTTTGTTTTTCTATCAGTTAGCTTTAGTTAACATTACAAGTCTATACTTTTAGATTTGCACTCACCTAATTGTAAAGCGGTGCAAAAGTTGCAAAAAAGTTGAAAAAAATGAGTTGCAAATTGTTTAGGATATTTACACATTAACCAACCTTTTTAACCTTTTTCATTTAAACATTAAAAATAAACTTGGCAGGTCCAGATACCAGCCAACATGCGTCTATGGATGGCCCTCAAACAATGACGTTTTTAAAAATGTTGTAGGCTACAAAGTACGAGCCGTTATGCGATTTGCTGGCAAATAATGCTTGATTTGTTTATATTTAATAGATCCAGTGTATTAAACAAAATATGTTTATAATATAAATATATTGTACAATTTTATTATATTTTGATAGTTCAGTTGCAAGATCATTTTAAAGAACATTTTCAACAATAAAAAGCTGGAGTAAGATATTGTACGTGTTCACGGTACAGCGAAATTTAGAGTGGCAATTCTCAGAGAGCAAAAATACAATTAGCTTAAATATATAGGCTACACACACATAAATATATATATATATAAATAAACATAATAAATATAGGTAGGCAATTGCATATTACAAATAGCCTATTTGCACTTTTAAAATGTCTATATAGCCTAACGCCATTGAAGCCATATTGTATGAGGTGTTGCATGTATTGTATGTTCTTCAAGGTTTGAACTTAACCTAATTTAAGACTATAAAATATAATTTAAATATGTTAGGCCTACTGAATATTTCGCAAATAAAAATATTCCAATCAGATTACAAAAGTGCCTTACGCGGGGTGAATAGCTTGGCATCACAGCTCAGTAATGAGCACAACGACTCCTTCAGAAAAAATTTCAGAAAAGTTACGTAGGCTATTGAGCCTGTGAGAGGAGAGGAAGACCTCCCAAGTGGTCAGGGCATGCGTGTCATTTCAAGCGAGTCCTCTAACACTCCATTTATCCCTGCGAGCATGAGGCGACTGCTCTGTTTTGTCGGTGATAAACATTTAAAACCTTTAAACGAGAGCATAAATCCAGATGGGGGGAAAAACACATGAAAAAGGCTACATTTTCAGAAACCAACCTGATAACGTGGAAATGCGCTTCGGATAGATCAACAGGCTGTATTTCGTAGGCTAAATAATCGTTTACTAAAT